ATCCATCCATCCATCCATCCATCCATCTATCTATCTATCTATCCATCCATCTATCCATCCATCTATCCATACATCTATCCATACATCTATCCATACATCTATCCCCCTCTCTCTCTCCTCTGACAGAAGATGTAACCGTGTGTATGTCGGTCGGAGGAAGGACTTTAAAACTGCTCTAGTGTTTTATGTGGATTCTGTTTGGTGACACAGGGACGGAGGTGACGTGCTCACATCTCTAATCTCCCGTCGCTTTTCTCTCTCAGGAAACAGAGGAAGTGATTTTACTGCAGCGGAAAAGAGACGGAGACGGGTGCATGTTGCTGTGGCTGGTGAACCCATGACATCATCGTCCTGTCGAGGCACAAACGTCACGTTGAAATCAAGTTAACAGTCAAACAATATGTTTTTTATCCATCATCCATTCATCCTCCTTCCCTCATCCAACCCTCATCCCTCATCCCATGTCCCTCATTCCTTTATCCTCGTTCCTCTTTCCTACCTTCCTCCCTTCATCCCCTCTACCCTCATCCCTACCCACGTCCCTTCATACCTCTTCCCCTGTCCCTCATCCATTCACCCCCTGTCCCTCACCCCTATCCCCTGCCCATCATCCCTTCATCCTCTCCTCCCTCCCTCATGTCTTCTTATTCAGTTTGGTTCATCTTGCATGTCTTGCTCTATAGGCACTGGCTGGGGGGGGGGGGTACTTCCTCCCAGACTAGATGCATCTTCACTTCCACCCCATCACTCAACATCCAATGCATCAATTCAATTTCCATTACAACCTTTCAATCGCTGTGTAATGGGGATGTGATCCTCATTAATGAGGGTCTCTATAGAGAAGTGAGTTAAGCCCTTGCAGTTTCAGTGTGAGTCTGTATCCAGTAAGTGTCTCTCCTGCAGGGACACCACCGCTCTGTGGAACCTGCAGGTCTTCCAGTCCTCCTGCACGAGAGATTATGATGAGTCACTGTCACAGAGGAACCAGTGAGAAGCTCATGAAGTCACAAACAAGTGTGAAACTCCAGCTCGAGGACAGATTCACTTCTACAGTTACAGAAACACGGTGTGCGTCTTCACATGATCGTCACCGAATCATTAACCGGCTTCATACATGGTTGGAGGGTTGGTGGGATGTGGATTAAGGGGGGGGGGGGGAATTAAGAGGCGACAATTATAACTTTTACCACGTGCGTGCGTAAAGTGGATGGCTGAGCGCGCACACGTGCCGCACATCACTGCGGGCTACCGCTGCTGTCAGACGCGGGGTGGGAGTGAGGGCTACGGACGATTCATCCAGCGACCCGCCTCTCAGACTGGATCCAAGTCATTTCACATGGTCCACGTTCGTTTTCAAAATTGCGGGCTGCCTGAAAATGAGACGCACGGATCAGAGAATGTCTCCCTTCTCCTGTTGACTCCAGGATAAGGTTTTAGACGTGATTTTGATTTGTTATTGTCCCACTCGGATACGATGGCACATCTGTGGATCCATTTAGAGGCTTAACCCACAGCGTCAGGCGCGTCTGCGGCTGGAGAGCGCAGTGGAGGGACCGGGAAAACTTGCGTGGCGCAGACGGGTCTCTCCCACTCTCTCTCTTCTCGATGTCCCCGCTGAGAGCCATGGTGAGCCCGCTCGTGCTGGTGCTCAGCTGGGCCGTGATCTCCGGAGCTCAGAACGACACGGAGCCCATCGTCCTGGAGGGCAAGTGCCTGGTGGTGTGCGACTCCAACCCGGCCACGGACTGGAAGGCTTCGTCCTCTCCGCTCGGCATCTCGGTGCGCGCATCCAACTCCAAGGTGGCTTTCTCCGCAGTCCGGAGCAACAACCACGAGCCTTCGGAGATGAGCAACAAAACAAGAATAATCTACTTCGACCAGGTGATTTTATTCAGTACAGATGTTTTATTTTTTTTTTAAAGAAAAAGTGGTTAAATTCTCCTCATGGTGACACTTTGCATCTGTGCCCTGAACCTGCGCTTTGTCTTTACTGCTCAGTTTTGTGTTTTCATCATGAACCCCCCCACCCTGAGCTCGTGCAGTTTGCAGTTTTAATGCGCAACGTGAAGGTGTCAGTGCAGGTTCTGGTGGCACAGTTTTGGTTTTGGAGACACACATCACCTGCAGGTTTGAATGTGGCTGGACTATGAGTGTGTGTGTGTGTGTGTGTGTGTGTGTGTGTGTGTGTGTGTGTGTGTGTGTGTGTGCAGGCTCTGCAGGATGCACACACACACACACACACACCTACATAATCCACCCAAACAAATCCAGCAAACAGCACAGACAACAGAGATCTGATTAGTCACCCAGCAGTGGGCAGTGTGAGGTGTTGGTAACAATATCACTGATCCTCTGCCCTCTCATTTGAATTACATAACATCATCTGTGTGTGTGTGTGTGTGTGTGTGCGTGTGTGTGTGTAGTGGTGGGGGGTCTCGAACATGTGGGATTCAAGTGTTTTGAGTCTCTGCAGGTACCGAGAGGAGCCGCTGCCTCCATCAGTCATCACCCTGGAGAAGTTGATTTTCTGCACACTGTACATGTGGAGCATTAAAACCATTAGAGGCGACATTAAGTGCTGCGGCTGTATATTCTGACTGACATATTGAGGCTGCATAATCTCTGGCAAGCAAACGTGAGGAGATGTATTCATGTGCATTGGTTATTCTGCAAACAGCGTCATGAAGAGAGCCTCTCTTCAGGCTCGGTCTCGTCAGATTTCACCTCAAAGTGGACTTTGTTTACAAACGAGCTTCATTTCTCGTCTATTTTTCACAATCGAACATCATTTTGTTCTCTTGTGAAAATGGGGAACTGAACCACTGGGTTGACCTCAGTGAGGAGAAGGAGCTGAATGACATATGTCTTGAGGTGACGCCCTGACTTTGCGTCCGAACAGAGGGGGAGGCCTGGTGCACGGCTGATTTCTATTTCATCCCAAAGCTTCTTTTCATTAAAATCCTTTGCTGAAGTTGCTGAGTTTTATCGACACTTTCTCACCATGTGTTTCTTTTCTCTTCCTCTCGTAGATTCTGGTGAATATAGGAAACTACTTCACATTTGAGTCTGTGTTTTTGTCGCCAAGGAAAGGAATCTACAGTTTTAACTTCCACGTCATTAAAGTGTACCAGAGTCAAACCATACAGGTATCACTTCTCTGTATTCACACTGATGTGGAATCGATTCAGATGCAGAACTCTGTCAGTATCGCACTGAGACGATAGGGACTGTATGAAAATGATTGAAATGGGGCGTCTCTGTGAAATGCCCTCTTAGAATATCAGAGTATCGAAGTATACTCAATATTAATAACTGAAACAGAGGCAGCAGGAGAGAATACACTGACCTTAACATAATGATATTTACAATGATAATGACCTTCAATGCCACAACGTGCTTTAACAGAAATAAATGAAGAATTGAAAGCAAACAATGGGAAGAAATTCATATATTAATGTAATAATAAGAAGAATCAAAGTTGTTTAAGTCGCCAAATCAGCTCTGAGCTTTTAATTGGAATGTGTAAAAGCATATTTCAAATCAAAAAGGGTATTATAATTATTATTATTCTTCATTTTAAAAAGTCTGACAACTAAAAAAAACAACATTCAGGACCTCCCCATTAATTTTCATACAGTTCCTTTCTGTGAACATATTGATTTCTTCTCCACAGTTTTCTCGAACAAATAGTTCTCATTAGTAGATTCACGGTGAGTTTAAAACTATTTTACTGTCACAGGAAGTCAAATTAAGCAACAGTCCAAAGTAAACACATCTTTTTTTATTCCTTTTCCATTATTATTTGCTCATGGTTTGTTTTTTTTATAATTTGTTTATTTCAGGTGAACCTGATGCTGAATGGGAAACCGGTCATCTCTGCCTTTGCGGGCGACAAAGATGTGACTCGTGAGGCGGCCACCAACGGAGTTCTGCTTTATCTAGAAAAGGAGGACAAGGTCTACCTGAAGCTGGAGAAGGGGAACCTCGTTGGTGGATGGCAGTACTCGACATTTTCTGGCTTCCTCGTGTTCCCCCTGTAAAGAAGAGAAGATTGTAAACTCACAGACTTCTTCATAACGTGTCGTCACCGTATAATCAAAACATCGCCGCTGCATCGGTCGGATCTTTCCGAGTGGTTGAAAAATGATAGATGGAAATGGATAACATCAGAGGGGGGGGGGGGGATAAGACTTTGGGAAATCGTTGAGTGCTGAGTCCCTGTCCACATGAAGGAGACTTCAAATGTTCCCAATCCCCACTTTATGCTCCTGTCACTCAAGGAGCCTCGGAGAGGAACTCTAATTCATCCCAGAAGTACTTTTCAAACTCGTCGGAATACGTTTAGCATACTGATATCCTTTCGGGTTTAAATTGTATATACCTACTTACTGTATATACATCACCAACGTTTTCAGAGTGCTGCGTGTTTTGGCGGTGGGCTCAAGGCAGAGGGCTGACATTGGTGTGGTCCCTGATAACCAAGAGAGGTAATGTGGTTTAAAAAGTGTGATCAGTGATGGAAGGATTACTGAAGGACTGCAGAGATTCACCACAGCCGCAAAAGAGACGTCAAATAACTAAGAAATGCAGAGGAACAACAAAGAGACGGCAAGTAACTGCAAAAAGACAAAGAGCCCCCGGAGGAGAGATTCATCAGGTCACAACGAGAAACTAAATGTCTACAGAAGCTGTGTCCCGATTCAGGGGCAGCCTCCTTTGGAGGACGTGGTCCTGAAGGTGTCTGTCTCGTGACAGAGACGGGTCTTGTCCAGCAGAGGATTCAATGATAGGCGTCATCAGCTCGTCCGGCCCTCGTTGCTATCGCCTAGCAACAGAGCTATGGTTGTGTTTTAAACCTGTGTACTGTTCAGTTGAAGCACGATGCTCCAAGCGGTGGACGTTTCATCGCTCGGCGCCAAAACGGTTTGTCACAGAAGTGCAATGAATCCTGGGATAGGTTGGGCTGGGAAGGAGTCGCCTGATGTTGGGGACTTTTAAAAACTGGCAGAGACGCTAAAGAGACGCCAAAATGACCACAAAGACAGAACAAGCTGGTTTTTTTAGGGGACGAAGACACGGAGCTGCCGTAAAATCACCGAGAGATTTAAAAAAAAACAACTTTGTGGCCATTTTGAGTGTCTTTCAGTGTCTCGCTCCCGCGTTGAGGTCGGGGGCCTCGTACATGAATGTGAAGGGACCCATTGTGACTCTTTTACTCTCACTGCTGATATTTAATTTTGCTTTTTGACGGATTGCACTGGTGAGTTCATTAACCCGTCCACCGTGTCTCCTTGACGTGATGATGAACCCGCGGCTGTGCGGTTCCTCTTAGCTTGATGATTTTAGTGTCTTTCGGCTCGTTGTTTTGGTTTCATGGCCTGTAACTCTTTTACTCACGCTGCTCTGATCAGAAGCAAACAGCACAACGTCAGTGACCGGCTGGTGAACGGAGTGAACGCACCAGCAGCTAGTAAACAGATATATTCCCTCACATGCTGGTGGAGACCAAAACCAGAGCTGAAAGCAGAGCGAATGCCTGACCTACGTTCAACGGTTTCAACCAGAAACAAATGTGAATATTGCTCCGTAGCTGCTGGACGTGTAAATACGCGACTGTTTCTCCTAAATCTACTCAAAAGGTTCCTCAGTATATTTCAGTGTTGTGTTTGCAGCATGTTTCCGCTGCAGAGGCCAGAAAAGTCGTTAATCAGAGGAGGGAGGTCGGAGGAAGATCATTTTCTTTGGTCCTAAGTAAATAAAGATAAAAGTAAATCATGTTTTACGTCACCGTTGCCTTTTTCTATAGATTTAACAAACTCCACAATCCTTCGCTGACTTTGTGCCTAAAACATAAGAGCATAAAAAGAGGTTAACGATGCTGCTCCTCCTCCTACAGTACCAGTGAAATAACAAAAACATCACGTTGTCTTTGAATAATATACAGTTCAGTTGAGTGGCATTACATTTCCCTGCTGTTGACCGTGTCTGGTCTATAGATGTAATTTCAACCTGTGTCTTTATAATAAATCTTTCACAAGTCAACTCCTGGTTTATGGATCTTAATAAAGTTTAACGAGAACCCTAATTGGTCAACAGGCCGATAATAAACGGGTTCCCGTCACAGTGGGCGAGCACAAATAGCTTTCAGCGGGCAGCGCGGAGCAACTGATGAATTAATAAATTCCTTCCCCGTGGCTCAGTGTGCGCTCGCGGTCTCTTCTCGTCCACGGCAGAGTTACCGTCGACCTCGCCGCAGCAGCGCGTGCAGCCGCATTGTCCAAAATCCACCGAGAAGCCTGTGGAGGATTTTTCTTTTCACAAGCTTATTTTCAAATCGCATTTTTCTTTTCAGCCTGAAATGATCTGCAGCCTCATCAGCTTCCTCTCTGAAGTGTTTTTCAGTGTCGACTGTCACTCATCAAATTCATGTTGTTGGCTGAAGCGTTTCTGTCAGTGACTGACGAGTTGCCCTTGACATCACTGTCACTTTTTAAAAAAAATTTCTTTTAAACCAGGAAAACATTTGGAGGGCAGGTGATTGTTCAGGTTTGTGAATAAGGCGGTGGAGGCAGGAGTGAAATCTTTGTGCAGCTGAATCAGACTCGTGAAGATTTACAGCCGCAGTCTGTGTCGCACTTTACAACAACAAGGAAACGGGATTGAAAATTTACCCAATAATACAAATATTAAGGAGATTTCTATTAAATTATCAAAGAATTTACTTTGCTGAAGTGAAATAATCTGTTTCTGCTCACGTGACTCATAAGGGGAGGAGGGACAGTGCCACTGAAATGATTGTAGTTTCATTTTGTATATACATTTAAATTTAAAATGTTATAACTGGAACTTTTACCGTTGCAATTGTGTTTAAAGTATTCTGGCTTTTAACGATGAATAAAAACTGTGAATTTCATTGACTCGCCATCGTATTAACTCGTTAGGAACCAATCAGAGCTCCTGTTGCTCTATGAGATGACATCATCACAGCACTAACTGATTCCAAACATAATTTAAAAAACAAACGTGACAAGAACATTGTAAAGTCAAGATGCGTGAATGTGTTCGTCCTTCATCAATTATCATTTCAACTGTTTGTACAAACCACTGGTTTGTGAACGTCAGTGTGACGTGATTTTTACAACAATTTCAAAGTTGCAGATGTTTTCATTTCGACTGTTTAACAGATAAAGAATTCTGGGTCGTGGATAAATGTGACAGTTGAACGCACTCTATCTAATCACTCTAGTTTTCTGCATCGCAGCTGAAACAGAGACAGTGTTTAGGTTTAGTTTTCTTCATTTTTCTTCGATTAATTGTCATTGAAGTATTTTCAGATTGGGATATTAAGGTTATTTGGTTCACATCAAACGAGTGTCAGGATTATTGGGAGAATATCGAGGATTTAAAAGAAGACGTCACACGTGATTCAAGAAAAGTCTTTAAGCAGTTTTCACGTAACTCTCTGATATTCCCACATTCCGTCACGTGTGTCATCTCCTCATGTATATGCACAGTTACAGATATGTTTCAGCCTTCGTCCCTTCTGTCCAGTGTTGTACAACCTTGTACGATGTTGTGTTTACATGTCAGCTCTCTGAATCCTTTTCACTTTGATTTCCGTCGCAGATCAACCAGTGACGAGTCGAGGCCGAGACACTTTTCAGAGATTTATCATGAGGCCTTAAAAATGAACCTGATTTTTTATTTTTGCAGGTTTTCGTTATTGTTTCTGGGGGTTGATAAGTTGCATTGATTCAAATGTGCAGAACGGTGTAAATATAAAGTGTAGAGTGATGTAAATATAAAACACGTTGGATGTTCAGAGTTGAATGTTGTGATGTGGCCGTCGACGTATTAAAAAACTAGAATGATCATAAAAAGCAAAAATCTTTTCTAAGCCTGTGATGACACAAAAACCTGAGAACTGAAATGATGTTGTGAGAAACATCTGTCTGTTGTTTTCCATGAAACTGTTTCACCACAGTTCAGATAATAATGGCTACGGTTAAAAATAAAAAAAAAATCTTGAGAATCTTACTCTGTGTTTTGGCTGAGTAACCGTCGACCAGTCGTGTGAACGTGTGCAGGATGTGTCAACAGCTCCACGAATAACAAACACATCAAACAATTAGAGTAAAAACAGGCACGCCGACTGTCTCATTAGGTTTTTAATGGCTCACATCCTCTCACATGTTGTGTTGCTCTGGAATTAAAGCAGCTGTTAATGTGTTGAGTGTTGTTTTGTGATGTCATGTTCTGTTTTGAAAAAGCAATAACGCTCTGTGTTAATGAATCAGACCCCACACACCATTTTGCAGGGAAATTATCTGCCTCTTAATTTGTTTCCAGATGTGTTCGGGTCGTCAGAGCGCCTGTCCACGAGATGAGGAAGAAGCTGGCACACAGGAAGTCGTTTTGAGTGAAGTGTATATCTCTCGACGTAACGCGCATTTCATTTGGAAGCGAAACAGAAGGTTATCGGGACGACGTCACGCTCTGTGGTTTTTTTTTTATGGTCGTGGAGCTGTGGGACAAAACTCTGCTGAAAGAAAAGAGGATTTCAGCCCCGAGCGTTCCCACTGTCCTCGCGGCGACACGGTGGCAGGTGTGCCGTGTAGAATTTCAAAGTCAACGCTGACCTTTCTCCTGGCATTTCAGAGGACAACCGCGAGGTGTGATTGAATATATTGTCTCTAAACAGCGCCGATTGTTTCCGGCACTCGGTTTGAGATATGCAGAGCGCTGTTCTCTTTGATTGCATCCAGTGGGAGACATAACCCTTGAACTGAATCATAACTCAGCACACGAGCCCTTTTTTTCCAAACAAGCGTTGGTCCCAGGTGATAAAAGATGTTCACAATACCCACTTTTAAAAAAAAACACTGGAGTTTGCATGAGCTGCATCACAGCTCTGGATTTGGGCTGTTTTCTTGAATGAGCTTGTTAAGAGGACGCAGCAAAACTGTGTCAGTGCAACTCAGCTCTCACAGCTTCGCACAGAAGCGAATAATTCATGTCAGCGTGAAAAAAACGTCCACGTCAGCAGCAAGGAAACTTATTTTAAGGGCATCACTGTCAACAGGGAAATAGATTTTAGATTCTTCTTTACATTAGAAATAGTTTAACCAATGATTACTTCCTTTCTGTCTGACCAATCACGACAGCTTGGTTTCTGATTGAAATGCTTTTTCATTTCTTCTACTCATATGGAGATAGCTATTAATAGATATTCGCACCTCGGGGGCCACTCAGATTTCAGCCGGGGCCAGTGACCCCCTGTCCCGGCTCCTGGATCTTCCCCTCGCTATGAAGAACATCAGAAAGTCCGTGTTACAAACAAATCAACGTGGCCACAAAACATTTGAGCGTCTTCAGACTCGAACTTGTGATGTGATCACTCAGGGCAGATGTCAACAACGGGTCTGACGGGGTTCACTGAAGAACGTAACGTTTAAACAAACATCGTGTTCTCTCATCAAGAATAACTCCTCATATCCAAATTCAACACTTTATGAGACAGAGCCCAATGTTGTTTGGCTTAACAGCCGGCGAGACGTTCTTTAAATGTTCTCATGTTAACACTGTGACAGCTGCTTTCTCTTTACAAGTTACATCTTCACAGGAACTGAATCCAAAAACAACCAGAGTGTTTCTAAGAACGTGTTAAATCCTCATAATCTCGTCCTTCGCATGACTGGAGGCAGCAGACGGGTTTGGAATAAGTCGACAACTCAGCAGATAAAACTTCGACGTGCTGCAGGTGGCAGAAGACGGAGATGAGAGTAACGTGACTCACGAGCAGGATCTCTGCATTTTCCATGATAAGGGACAAAAGCAGCATCTGTAGATTCAATGAACAACTGTTGTGTGAAACAAGTTGATCTGAATCATGATGACTTGGTTTCAAACTAAATAAGCTGCAGCCAGAGTTCCAGCGTCCATTAAGGACACTCTGGAGATCTGAAGCCTTTGATTTCCTCCTTAGTAAAGAAGCGCCGCCGTCACATGTTTTCAGACATGAATATATACGAGAACGTCTGCACCGCGTCCACCAATGTCAGGTGGTGCAACGAGCAGGAGGCTGAATGTAGCGTGTAAAGTCTGCTGCGAAGATGCCGTGTTTAAGTTCAGGGGTTCGGAACAGATAGGTTCAAATAGTTTTTGGAGTCTCTCATGTAGTATTTTACAGATCGGCTTGTATTTGCTCAAAATGCATCATTACATGCTGTGCTGTTAAACATTGCATTTTTTTTCTTTCTAATCTGAATTTTGTTTTCCTGGCAAAACTGATCCGCTCGACTAAACTTGGTCTTTAATGCTGCTGCATTATACATCAGCCACATGAAGGCGTCCGTCATTAAATAATGATTTGCTTTGAATAACCAAATCACGATTTCCCTTTCAACAAAGTTCCGAACAGTTTCACGAGCATCAAGCGGGGGACGCTGTGAAATGTGTACTGTCATGCACATCGGGAGAATGTGCCAAGCACTGTATGCAAATGAGCTCGGAGCAGAAGTGCTGATTTGTCCGGCTCAAGGATTTTAAAACCATGTTTGCAGGCAGGGCACTTCTGCAACACGCCTCATTCTGGTTTCTGAGCGGTGAATGAAAAGCTCATTTGGTGATGCTCGGAGGCCGGGCGGGGGGTGGGGGGGGGGGTTGGGGGTCAGAGGGGCTGCTATACGTGTAACTCGCAGTGACT